ATCAAAATCGATTCACCCAGTCAAAAGCTATGAGATAACAAACATAAAAAAACATAGTTGAATTGAGACCTCCTCCTTTTTTGAAGTCGGTTAAAACAGTTTTTTTTTTTGTATTTAAATTATCTTCTTGATAGATTTATAAATACTAGAGGTCCCGCAGTAGTCGAAATTCGACTATAATTAATTGGAATTGTAAGTTTGTACACTATTGTGATTCTATTTTATACTTCTATAATCACAAATTTCGCGAAGACTACACTATAAAAAATATTAACAAAGACAAACCATATTCTATTCTCAATTTGACAACAGACGTCAAGAACAAAAGTTTGACAGTAAATAGTATGCATGCGTGTGTGCGTCAAATACATGGCATGTAGTGTGTGTAATGTTTTCTTTATTGATTTAATGTATCTTTTACGCATTATTTAAAAAAAATATTAGCATTGTGCACTTATTCTCTATATTCTCTATAAGTGTGGAAAATTTCATACTCCTCCGACCGCGCAATTTTCGTAAAAAGGAATACAAAGTTTTTGCTTCACGTATTAATATATAGATAATGGAACTAAAGGGCTTATAAAATACCTCAGATAATATTATTTGGTCTACACGATCAATAATGTTCAAGTCTAATTTTAACCCAAAACGATAGTCTAGAACTTTATCGTCTTAATTATAAATGTTAGTAAATGCGAATCGAGCTTAATGAAGCTAGTTCTACTTGAACAGCATTAACTTAACTTAAAGCTTATTACTAAGACAGCTTACCGTTATTACTAACATAACGACGGTACTTAACGTTTATTAACTAGAACATTCGAGGCCTACTTAACAAAGCAGAATTTCACTAGGAAAATTTATTGTTTCAGAGAAAATTAGAATCTAATAAACTCAAAAAATCTTTTGGCTTCTGAGATTCATATTCTGAATTAATATCAACAGCCCACACTCGTCTAAAGCTGAACACCGGGCTCATCCAATAACATTTCACAGATGAGATCTCTTTCAAAACAATCTGCAATAATATTATGGTGATAGTTAAAATTGCTTTTACCGCTTAATCCGGTCACCGTTCTCGTCGAACCCGTCGCTTGCGACGAAGGGCTCGACGAGTAAATTAACCCTCAGACACAGCCCACTGAGTTTCTCGCCGGATCTTCTCAGTGGGTCGCGTTTCTGATCCGGTGATAGATTCTGCGAAGCACGGCTCTTGCTAGGGTTCGTGTTAGCAACGTCGTCAGGTTTTGAGCCCCGTGAGCTCACCTACTAGTTAAGGTTCCGCTGAAATAGCCTCTCAAGGCTATCAACTAAGGTAGGAAAAAAAAGGCTTAATATTTATTATTATCATTTTATAATTTCCGACATTACGAATACAATCTAAGTTGTAACGTTGTAATTATACTGAGATCTTAGAAATTATATCTCATGGTGGGTGGCGCATTTTATGTTATGGATGTCTATGGGCTCCAGTAACCACTTAACACCAGGTGGGCTGTGAGCTCGTCCACTTACCTAAGAAAATAATAATTGTTATTGGTTTCCACGTTGCTCTAATTACCATCTATTTTCATGAATATATTTTCTGTATGTTTTTTTTTGGCGCTAATAATTCCTTAAGGTCTGGCAGTTTGTTTGGCTTGAGATTACAATCTTCAAGATTAGAGGATCACAGATGTTAAATTTAATTAGTACCTCTTTGACTCGTGAAAATTGTTTACTGCTTTAAATTATTCTCAACAAGATATTATGTTATTAATAATTTTTCTGCTTAAAACATTGATGCAGGCTTTCAATACTGAAAGTCTTAAAAAAGTAAATGTTTTGTTGCAAGCAGGCATGTGTAGAAAAAAAAACATGTGTGCAATTCACACGTGGTAGAAGTGAAACCTTCCAAAATTAAAATACAATTATCCTAAACGTCTTAAGTATATGTAAAATTTTGTCATTAGTAAATAATTGTAAGGTAGCGCCCTCTGTGAATTGATATTTTAATTTCACGTATAATCCTAACTTAAAATTCACTACAAGAGCTTTCATACACACGTTAGTATTAAAAAATCTCACAGATGGCGCTGTATTAAATAGTATGTATATTTCTGTCTCATTCTTTGCTGGCTTCATCCTACACATTTTTGTATTTGTGTCTCTTACCTGTCGTTTTTTCCGTTGCATCCGGTTTGAAATCACAACGATTCTAAAGAAGTTTTCACTTCAAAAAAAAAACATAATGTTACGCCATACCCGCTAAGGCATGTGATCGGAGTGTGAATTATACTCATCTATATATATATGTAATAGAAATTCCTCGCATACCTGTAACGAAATCTAGAACCCTGATTAGGAATTCCGGTAGCATTATTGCTCATATCCGAAAATGTAACGAAGTTTAGTGGTAGCGTTGGCATAGTCAATAAGTATAGGTCTTTAATTGTACTAGACGGTTGAATGGGCACACGGCCCAACTCGTCTTAAGTTGTTTTTCTTAATTTTTTTATTGCGCAAATGGCTGGAGGAGCTCACAGCCCACCTGGTGTTAAGCGGCTACCGAAGCCCATAGACATCTACGACGTAAATGCCGTCACCCACCTTGAGATATGAGTTCTAAGTTCTCAGTATAGTTAACTGCTACCCCACCCTTCAAACCAAACGCATTACTGCTTCACGGCAGAAATAGGCGGGGTGGTTGTACTTACCCGTGCGTACCCACAAGAGGTCCTACCAAAAGAAAGAAATAAACTCAAATTTTATTCCATAGCTGTTGACTGACTCTTCGAATCCGAGATTGGTTCGCGCTAGATTGGCTGGCCGTATTTAGCCTTTTTTTCTCACAATGCTCTTTGAATTGGTATTTTTTGCGCCATGTACCTTCTTTAGGTACTGCCAAGCGGCACGTCCAAATCTAAATAAAAAACAAAATGTGTGCAATTCACACGTGGTAGAAGTGAAACCTTCCAAAATTAAAATACAATTATCCTAAACGTCTTAAGTATATGTAAAATTTTGTCATTAGTAAATAATTGTAAGGTAGCGCCCTCTGTGAATTGATATTTTAATTTCACGTATAATCCTAACTTAAAATTCACTACAAGAGCTTTCATACACACGTTAGTATTAAAAAATCTCACAGATGGCGCTGTATTAAATAGTATGTATATTTCTGTCTCATTCTTTGCTGGTGTCTCTTACCTGTCGTTTTTTCCGTTGCATCCAGTTTGAAATCACAACGATTCTAAAGAAGTTTTCACTTCAATAGAATTTATTTAGGTAGATGGGCTCACGTTTCAATGTTGCACCGGGATTCGAACTTTAGATTGAAGTCTTGATTAAGCAGCACAGCCATCGGTAGGCAGCGGCTTGGCTCTGCCCCTGGCATTGCTGAAGTTCATGGGCGACGGTAACCACTCACCATCAGGTGGGCCGTATGCTCGTCTGCCTACAAGAGCAATAAAATAAAATAAAAAAAGATTGTGTTATGATCATCCCACCCTACTGATATATACCAGAGTGCGAAAATGCTTAATAGCGTAAATATAACGGCGGTGGCATAAACCCGGACAGGCCAGTGTATTTTGATCTGAATAACGTTTTTTTCTTAGACGGGTGCACGAGCTCACGGTTCTCTTATTGCTTAGTGGTTACTGAGGCCCAGAGACATCAACAACGTAAATTCCGTCACCTATATTGAGACAAGAATTATAAGTCTCCGTTATTTAGTAGAAAGGCTGTCGCACCCTTCAAACTGAAGCGTATTTCTACTTCGCGGCAGAAATAGGCTGGGTACTACCGACCTGTGTGGACTCACAAAACGCACTACCACCAGTGATTATGGAAATTATAGTCCGGTCATCGTTCCCATTGAATCCGTCGCTTGCGACGAAAGGCTCGACGAGTAAATTAACCCTGAGACACAGCCCACTAAGTTTCTCGCCGGATTTTCTCAGTGGGTCGCGTTTCCGATCCGGTGGTAGATTCTGCGAAGCACGGCTCTTGCTAGGGCTCGTGTTAGCAACGTCGTCAGGTTTGGGCCCGTGAGCTCACCTACTAGTTAAGGCTACGCTGATAATATAGCCTTCTCAAGGCTCTCAGCTTAGGTAGGAGGAAAAAGAAAAACCAATTATATTTTGATTTTTATTATAGGATGTTATATTTTATCGTGGAAGTCAATCGTGTACATTTATTAAGTACGTATTTCATTAGAAGAATTAAATTCGAAGTATGCGGTCATTGGAAGAGTAATGTCCAACTTTCCCAAGCAATATAGGTTTACTTAGTCATCATATTCGAGATTAAATTTGAAATGTTCATTCTTGTCTGGGTCCTTAGTACAAACTCAACTTGTAAAGCTCTAGAACAACGGTACATTGAAAGTTCTTAGTTTTCATCTGTCTCGGTTATCGCAAAGTTTTGGAGCCGAGCTTCGGTTAGCGTAAAATAAAAGTTTGCAAATAGCGTACGTTCACGACACTAAAATTAATTCTCGTAAATTAATAATTGAGTTAGGCGCTTATTTTATCATTCAATTTTCTTTGAGCTCTAAAGTCTGCTTAGCGTACGAGTGAAAAGAAATTTTAATTATTTTCGTTTATAAATAATGTTCAACAAGAAAACTTAATTTGCTTAATATTTATTTGGTTAATAGGCTTTCTTCGACCGAATGCCGAAAAGAATATTGACGGGTAAGTAGGTGTTTGGCTGTGCGTCGAGCATTTTTAATGTCCATGAGCCTGTTTACCCTGACGTACATTTATCGGTTTTGACCAGTTCACAATCCACCTGATGTAAAGTGATTAGCAGAAGGGCATCACATAGTGAACCTATATGACCGCCTTCATACGTCAGCAGTAAATTTAGAAATCTTCTCTTGACGTTCAGGTGGGCCGTATGCTCGTCTGCCTATACGGCAATAATAATAAAAACGCACATTGACGAATAATTAAAGATCGAATTTCAACCACACAGTATAAAGAAATCTAAATTATTTCATTCCTTGCCTTCAGGGTGCCGCTCCTCTTCTGGTACCGTATCTATCAGAGCTGGGGCACACTTGCCCCACGACCCACAATCCAGCGGACTTCGTGCTGGAAACGATCATCACCGACGCGGAAGCAGCGGCTCAGATGTCGGAATTGTGCCAGAATGGAAAACTTTGCAGGAAACTGGATAGGATGTTAGCGAGAGGTGGAAAGTGAGTTGTGATTTACACGCGTTACTCAAATATATAACTTTAGCGGTAGAGCATGTACGTATATGCATTGTTTTGTTCCTTCCTATGTGAAATGAAATGAAAATGAAAATAGTGAAAAATGGTCTTTGTGAACGTGGTAACATTGAATCACGAACTTTCGTTTAGGCAATTTACGCGCGCGCGCTTCAAACAAAGCTTCCCGAAAGTACTCAATGGTAGGCAGCGACTTGGCTGTGCCCCCGGCTTTGCTGACGTCTAAGAGCGACGGCAACTACTTACTATAAGGTGGGCCGTATGCTCGTCTGCCTACAAAGCCAAAAAATAAAAACTTACGGATTCATCAGTGAATGGGCGTTTCACGATTATTTTATCGACAGGCTACAGATATATTCTTGTAGTAGAGCGTATTATTTTTCCTTTTGGGTAGGTATCATTATGCTGGCTATTTGAAAAAAAACGCCTTGCTATCCTATCGGAAGGTCGAAAGGCCTAGTCTACGATATAATTGAGACTTGAACTCCATGACTCAGGGTGGCGATATCCACTTTATGATGTTTAAAGTGACCTTAAGGTACTGGATACTGGACAGGAAGTTGATCTATCCGTAAACAACAAAAAAAACCTGGACCCTCCCATTTTACTGGTGTGAGGGCGTTTAGAAACTCGCATAGGCGAACATCGCAATCCTAGCTATTTATTTTGCAATGTGTTACAATCTGCGAAAGGTAAGGTAAGCTCATCAAGATGGTCGGTGGGTATTGAGTTTGTAATAGAAAATGTCTTCCGTAATCTGAACAAAGAGGACCTTTGGCATATCGATGCGTTTAACGCGCTAAAAAATCAATAACTCAATTGAAAAGTGTTTCAGGAAACCAATTTTACATTCAGACGAGTCAATACAAAGGATATTCGTCGAGCACATAGCCAAAGAACAAATGCAGAAGATGGAATTTCCGACCACGTTTTTCACGCAATTCTATATCCTAACGAAAAGGATGTTCATACAAAACAAAAGAAATTTGGTAAGTTTTTGTTAATTCAAAGTCAGAGCATACGAGAATGTGACCCCGGCTTTTGCGTAAATAAATAATAAGCGTGTATATTTGATGCATGTCACCACTCTTGGCCGGTTTTACAAGGGTTTGAAGACTAGAGCCTAATGAACCAACGTCAGAACTTTGTGACATCAATTTTGGAAACTACATACTAGGTTTGAAAACTCGTTTTCAAACTTTGCGATGCGAACTCAATCGCCGCTATTCTGTTTAAGACGCTCAAATTTATGGACTTATGCTTCGAATTCATTTAATTTAGCTTCTATTTATTTACTTTTGATTTTGGCCTCTGTGTTACGTTACGTTACAGAATTTAGAGATACTAAAACTTATAACCGTATTTTCGACGTGCGACTTAAAATATTAATTTAAAATTTATTTTAAAAGAATGTGTACATACCTATACTAATTCGTAGGGTATTTACAATAGATACATTAAATTCAGAACACAATGTATTTTTGTTGTTATTAAAAATGTAATGTTTTAATGTAATTAAAATTGTATCCTGTTCTGTCCTAAATGGATTTACATCAGCACATCGTTAACTCAGATAGGCAAACTCTTTTTATTGCATAGGGTAAACAAGCACACGGCTCATCCGGCAATAAGCTATCGGAATCTATAGAAAACACAATTGCGTTGTGGCTTAAATTATACAGGTCCGTAATATGCCATCGCCTATTAAAGTAAGAGCTAGGGTGTTAGGTACAGAAAGGTCAAGTGCAAACGTACCTACTGAAAAAACCGCTAGGGTGATTATAAGAGAAATACTAGATTCAAGTTATCACACTTGCGTACCACTAAACGCAAATAGTGAGAGTTATTGCTTAAGATCGAAACTGTTTTATAATATGACTAGTTGACCCGGCAGACTTCGTAGTGCCTCAATCGATAAATAAAAGACACATCAAGGGGACACATCAAAGGAAAAACAAAATTGTTTGTTTTTATTTAATACCGAGCATTTTCATATTTATCTACCTTTTAAACCTTTTCTGGACTTCCACAAATAATTCAAGACCAAAATTAGGCAAATCGGTTCAGCCGTTCTCGAGTTTTAGCGAGACTAACGAACAGCAATTCATTTTTATATACATATATAGATTAAGTCGTTTCAATGATGTATTATCTTCGATTTACATTAAAGGTAATATTTTTTCAGACCACACTCTGGATACAGTTAGCGCACCATCTAACTTCAGCCATTCTTCTTGGAAGTATATTCTTCGGCATTGGTAACGACGGGGCCTATCCAGTAGTAAATTTTAAGTTCTGCATGAGCTGTTTGGTGTTTTTCATGTACACATATATAATGATACCGATATTGTTATGTAAGTTAATCAATTGTAATATTATATTGCATTTAGTAGATTTAATTTAAAGGCTGACTCTCGGTGGCGAAGTAGTTAGCGCGCCTAACTTTTGCGCTGATGGTCGTGGGTTCGATCCCCACCTCGAGCAAATATTGTGTGATTAACAAATTTGTTTTCTCTGTGTCCGGGTTTTTTTTTCTACCTTAGCTGATAGCCTTGAGAGGCTATATCAGCGGAACCTTAACTAGTAGGTGAGCTCACGCGGCTCAAACCTGACGACGTTGCTAACACGAACCCTAGCAAGAGTCGTGCTTCGCAGAATCTACCACCGGATCGGAAACGCGACCCACTGAGAAGATCCGGCGAGAAACTCAGTGGGCTGTGTCTGGTATTTGTTTCCTATATATGTATATATTTAAACGTATATAAGTTTGTTTGGCAGTCTCCGGTACCCATAACAGTTAAAGGGAATTCTAAATTAGGGCCGGGTGTGAGTTGTTCCCAATTATTATTTTTAAAAGAAAAATCACAAAGGACTGTACAAGTTTACAATACGTCAGATTTCCTGAGATAATGTATTCACATATGCTGAGAATTGGAAACCGCATCCCCAGTCGATTGTTGTTATTGGTCTCGAAGGGTTTTAATAATATATAATAATATGTACAACAAATAGGATTCTGTACATAAAACACTTTCGTTCGTGATCATCAAAACTATACGGAAATAATGATAATACAAATCACGTGATTCAACCGTAAAAATAGTTTTAATTACGACTAAGATCGTGAAAACTAAAACAAAATTGCTATTTATCAATTTTTATCTGCTCAACTTTATAAAAAAATCTTTAACGATTCTGTCCTTAAATGATTCTTCAATGGCCATTGTTTTTTTAGTTCCGATGGAAGTGCACCTACTGCGTCGGGAATACTTCAATCGCTGGTACAGCTTAAAGGCTTATTATGCTGCGCTGAGTTTTGCCACTATGCCTGCGATGGTAAGGATTCTTATTGTATGTAATGTCGATTTTGGCAAACATAATTATGTGTACAGTACCCGGCAATAAATACCGCACATCGACCATTGGAAAAAGACAGCGTTTTAAAAACAGTTTTCTGCCACGCACAGTAAATCTCTGAAATTCGTTGCCATCAGCGGTCTTCCCCAACAACTGCGACATTGGGTTATTCAAGAAAAGAGCATATTCTTACCTCTAGGGTAGGCAACGCACTGGCGTCGCTGGTGACCGTGGGCGGCGGTGAATCACTTACCATCAGGTGACCCGTCTTGCTCGTTTGCCTCTTAGCTGTTATTTAAAAAAAAAAAAAGACAATCGACTAATTTCGGCACGTAGAACGTTATCTCTGTGAATAATTAAACCCACCTGTCCTGGTGAAACTGAAAAGGCCTCCGGGCCATTAGTAATCCATCAATCATAAAAAAACAAAATTAACAATAATTAGCTGACCCGGCAGACTTCATAGTGCCTCAATCGATAAATAAAAAAAGACCTAAACTTTTGTATAAAATAATCTTAAAAAAAACAAAAGGATTGTTTGTTTTTATATAATTCCGAGCATTTTCATATTTATTCATCTTTTAAACCTTCTCTGGACTTTCACGAATAATTCAAGACCAAAATTAGCCAAATCGGTCCAGCCGTTCTCGAGTTTTAGCGAGACTAACGAACAGCAATTCATTTATATATATAATAATATATAGATTGGTATAGCTCAGTGGTCGGCAACCCGCGACTAGCCGACTGTAGACGGCTCTTAACCTCCTCGTCTATGACTGTCTATTTCTGTCGTGGAACAGTAATGCGTTTCGGTTTGAAAGGCGGACCAGCCGTTTTACTATAATAACTGAGACCTTAAAACTCATATCTCAGGTTAAGGGCCGGCATTTACGTTGTAGATGTCAATAGGCTCGGGTAACCTCGTCCACCCACCAAAGCAATAAAAAAAGATATTTAAATGTTGCCTTGTACCTAAGAGACTACCTAGTAAGCATTTTTGGAATAAGGCTATAAAAATATATCTTAAATCATGGCTCTTACAATAAATTACAATTGTGTGTTAAACTTGGCTATTTTGGTTGAAAAGGTTGCCGACCACTGGTATAGCTGTATATATTCTAACTCATTACCTTACGTTATTGATTTAATTTTGATACCACTAAAACATTTTCTATTTTCTATTATTCAATTCAGGAAGCAAATTTTTATTTTAATCTAAATTTGTTTCAGACTTTACTTGGCCTCATATTCCTGGTTATAACGTATTTCATGTCAGGGCAGCTGCTAGAGTGGGAGAGGTTTACATTGTTCTCTATCAGCGGACTGCTTACGGGAATATGTTCCGAGGGCTTAGGTCTCGCCATAGGCGCAGCACTGAGTGTTACTGTAAGTTTTCTTCAATAATTCACTTCTGACAAATAATTCCCAAATTGTCACTTCTTGATTTTTTTAATATAGCGCCATCTAACGTAAACACTGTAAACTACGTGCAAGAAAACAAATGAGATTCTAATCCAAATTTCGGAGTAGGTAATTATAAAACCTAGCCAAAGATGTCAGTGCTGGGTGTGAACGTTACACATAGCAAAATATTCGAGATTGCCGCGTAAAGTTCGCCATTTTGACTGAATAAAATCGAAATTTCATGAAAATCAAACAAAGAACAAAATTAATGTGAATCTAAAATGAATAATATGTACAATAAACTGACAAATAAATCGAAGCGCCTTTTTTCAATTAATTTTTCTTGTGGTACCAGAGATTGAACGCAAGGTAGAGTGGGTAAGTCTGCAAGAGTAAGTATCACGATCTGGTGTTCCGTATTCAAGGCCCGATTTCAATACCTACAATTGACAATTCAATCTCACGTCTAAAATTTAGTGGCGGCGTGCATGTTGTGATGCTTTTAAGTTCCTCCGATCATGTAGATAACAGCAACTGGATGGAGCTCACATACGAGGAAGGATCAAAAAGTAGTGAGAATGAGATAGAATATAATGACTATTGATAATTCAATAATTTCTTTTTCTACATAGTCTCCGAGTCGCTCTACGCACAGAGTTCAGCGCTTTTCCAAGGCTTCAATCCCTTTCAAAAAAAAAGTTTTGTCTTTTTCCTGCAAAAAGTTCTCCACGGTATCCATCACCTTGTTATTGTCCACTACCACCGAGTCAGGCAAAGACAAATATACAAAAGATAATTTCGTAATTGTTTATTTTCAGAATGGCTCTATCGTCGGACCATCGATCGTGTCACCACTGCTGGTTCTCTGCTGCTATGGGATGGGTTTCGGTCCTTACATAGAGGGCACCATGCGCGCCCTAATGTCCGCCTCGTATCTGCGTTACGGTCTTTCCGGATTAACTTTATCCCTCTTCGAAAACCGACGGCCAATGGACTGTTCATTAGAATTCTGTTTGTATTCCGATTCTAAGCTCCTACTGCGGGACGTGGGAATGACAAACGATCGATACTACATTCAAATAATAGGATTGTTGGCATTCACGTTCGTTTATCGATTGTTGGCGTATTTCGCTTTGAGGTATCGAATGACCGCAGATTTTTCTAATCGATTCATGTGTTACATTAGTAAATTTTTAAAGCATCGATAATTCGTAAACAGCTTTTAGAGTTAATTCATTAATGGTATTTAAATCGTCTCAAGAGAATTGAATCTTTTCAAAATTAGAACTATGGTCTGGGTTAGATTATATTTATGATGTATTTTTTTTATTGTTAAAAAAACGCATACAATTACTTTAAGGTATAATAACTCGGTACTTATCAATTCGATGAATTTAATTATAATTTTAGAACTATATAAAAGAGAACATAGTTTTATCGTTCTTGTTCAAATGTGAAGTTGTACTCTCTATATCTCATTAGTTTAAGATTAGATAAACATTTAGGGGTTTTGACAGTTTTTTTAAGTCATTTTAAGCGATTTTATAACAAAAATATTTGATTTAGTTGAAACAATAAAGATATTAGTAATTAACTTCGTGGAAACTAAATACTTTAATTCTCGAGATCGGAGCCATAAGGTATGATATCCAAATTCGATCGAAATTAATCTACCGGGACCTTATGGTGTTATTTTTGAAAAAAATAAGAACTGAGTTTTATTTATTTGTTTCGTAGACATAAAATTAACTAAAAAGAAAAGAGAATCGATAAAAAAACACAGGAGGAAATGGTACTTAGCTGTTTTAGCTACAATGTACAATTATTGGGATAATATTTAAAAAAAAATTAACTCTTTTTACAATTAAGAGTTCTTTGAATTATATAAAAATTTATAAAGCAAACAGCAAATTTGACATTAGAGAATACTTCTGATGTTGTGAATTGTGTTGCCACATTTTTTTATGAACACTTACATTGTTGTCAAATTTCTCACCATAAAACGATTTAAAACATTTAAAAGGGTTGAGTCATTTTGGTGTTCGCATAAAAACATGAAATTTAATTAATTTTCATTAATAGTTTAAAAAAATTGTCAAATACCGTATTGTTTGATACATTAGTTAAGTTTTGTTTTTGTCTGTGATAATGATTGTGTAGAACAAAATTGTGTTTTGCATTTATAAATTAGCATAACAACTTAATTGTACTAAATCAAAAGTTACTGATAGTAAAAACGCGGTAACGGTAGTGACAGTTGACATATTTTGTCTGTCATGAAGCTGTATAATATGATCTGTGGAAAAATAAAATTTGAAAATGCAGCAAAGTATAAGTAAAAAAGAAACGAATCCAATTACTGATTCCGCATTAGAATCTCCATATTGCATAATTGATTTGTAAATCTATTAAGATTATATTTGTAATAGGTGTAAGTACATGTCTGTGCACAATTAAGCTTATTCGAAGTGACCGTCATATCTTGGTCGAATTTATATTATATTTATCGCTTCTAAAATCTACCGTGTTAGTTAGAGTTCTGTCTTGTTTGTTCTTCAAATTGAAGGACCGATTTTCGTCTTTCATCCACATTCGCTCACGACGTACTGTTTCATTGTTTAAAACACAGCAGAAATTTCATTCTATTCTCGATTGAATGTGAGCATGACAATTTAGAGTTACAAAATATTAAATGGTCAATTTTATGATGTAAAATTGTATTTTATGCATTCCGTAATAAAACTATGGGAGTTTATTGTAGTAGCATTATTTATTATTAAGGACGCAAAAACGACTGAGATTAATTAGTTAATCACGTAAACGGCTAGGGTTTCGAAATAAACAAATACTAAATTAGACGTTTTATTTTTTATTTATTTAACAACTTATCCTTATCCTAAGCACTATGTACACTTAATCACTTAACTTGTTTAAATTACAAAAGTATAATCTATTGTTTAATGTGTCGGATACTATTCCCAGAAGATTTACAATGAAAGCTATTTTCATAGTCTTTTTTTGACGTGATAACGTCTTACAAATCGATGAGCACCGACTGCACGCACGAAAAAGTGTCACGTTCCGTCTGGGCGGAGCGTGCAAGCGAGAGCGCGGAACAAGCTTAATATGGACACTCAACCGGCCCAAGTGTTAAATTTTAATTTTTAATTAACTCCTTTTTTCTATTATAGAAAATAATAATGATTCAGTGATATTAATTCAATTCAATTTATAAAAACATGCAATTTTTCATCGAATGTTTCTTTATGATATTATCACGTAAAAGTACTTTTTAATTCCACTCCTTTTCATATAAGGTCCAACTACTATAGGTATTTACAATACAGAGATTTACGTTGGAGTGGCAAAAATCGCAAAATAAAACCCAAAAAAGAACATATACAGTTTTGTTAGTACGAAAGTTTAACACCCTGTATAGTGTTAGTGAAAATAGTATTAGAGTAAATTACACTCGAAATAAGCAGCGCATAAGACATTCTCGTGCTCTCAATCGCTGCTTTAATTAGTTCAGATCTATATACTAAATGTGGAGACCTGCTATTTCTTTATATTATATATACATAGTATACATTACTGGCATATGCTTATAACAGACAGCTTATTCTAAAAAGGTTTTACCTATCCCATATCAATTCGTGATCCCTTTACAAACATTTTATGTCTAAACAAATTCCCAATTACATTAAAATTGAAGCGAGTAAAATAATATTTCTAGCTTTAAATTTTACGTGATTTAATTTTTTTTTTCTAAAGTTAAAGTTATCTCTTATGACGTCACGAATAAATGTACGTCACGTATAAACCATTAAAATTATCTATATTTATCAATCAGTCTGCGTATTCTCATATTTCTCAACGCCTGATCAACATAAGAAGAGTTTCCCGCATACGAACAAACGAGAATGTAAAGGAAAACTATGCTCGCTTGATTTAATCAAATGTAGGTACTCGAAGTGCAACTTTCGTCTTTATAGTCTTTCCAATCTAAGCTACACGGCATCGCGGCATTCAAATATTCAAGATGCATTAACTTTGCCCAAACGTAACCATAAGATTTCAAACAATTTTGTTGATATAATAAAGTTTTTTTTTTGTAAACTCAAAATTTGAAGTGTGTTCCAATAATAACTGTCCATTTAAATTCTAATCTTGAAAATTCGTGGGAAATTAAGCAATTTTCAAATTCTTATTGTTACCATGTTATAATTATATCAGTGTCACTTTTGCCGTGATATTATTGTAATATCAAATTTTTGCGTATCGAAATAATCGTGGGCAAACAAAAAAATAGTTATATTTAAGATTATAAAAAATATCTCGAAAGTAGTATGAAGGAATATAAAATTTCATAATTACAATACGGATCTAAAAATCTGACGCTGTACTATCTTCACTAGAAAAGTCATCAACTGTCAAATGTCATACGCCATTCCTTGGAATCGAAAGACTATAATGAGGAACCGGAGGGTGTTGCCAGCCTTGTGTAATCGCACACGATAACTTTGCCCGAAATCGACAAACTCTTGCGTAATCAGACCCATATTTTTTGGTAAGATCGACTGCGTTGATTTAGTTTAGGACTTGCCGATCTTTCCTTGTTCAGTAACAAACACGGTGACGGGTACTTCTTGAGCTCCAAATTTCGACGGCAAGTCTTCTACTGCCGGCTTCCTTGCTGTTCTAGGACCTGAAACAACGAAACAACCTTAATTGATACTGACCTGGTAAAATAATACCAAGGGGTGAAAGGCAATTTTACAGATGAACCTATTAAAATTTAAAATTTGGAAAAAAAAATATAAGCAAATAAACTTTTTCATTTATTTCAATGGAGTAAAGTTAATTGAAGTTCAATTAAAAACATCGAACTGTTGATGCTAATGCCAAATAAAATGTACTTTTAATTAAAAAGATAAATTTAAAATCGCCTAATAAGCGAACATTTCCTCTCTCCAATACTACCGGTAAGGACTCACCTCCGCCCATGACGTGCTTGATCAGAACGGAGCAAGGGGAATCCACGAGTACCGTCAGCAGAAACGCCACTAGGAAAGATTGCGTGAAGTCAGCGAGGAACTTAAAGATCTGAAAATGATCAAGATGATCTTTTTTTTCATTGATTATATATAATTACCAATCATCGTTCATGAACCCTGACAATATCAATAGGATTGAGCCGAAATCTTTATCTACCGTTAGGGATTATTTTTAAGCCTAATTCGAAGGACAGGAATATCGAATTCAGGAATGTTGACGAAAGTACATCGTGAAATAGTGAAATTAAAAACTAAAGCTGAAAAAGCAATGCTTATGAAGACAGCGGTACCAAAGAATTTTATATTTAAATACATATTAATTATCAGTACTGTAATTATACTGTATTTCAGGGAAAGATGTTCGTGTCGATATTTAAAAATAAAACATACTTTGTAGCTTAAAGACAAATTTATAGATCCTATAATTTATTCCATTACTGTTATTATTATATATATACTATATTTTTTTCAGTGCGTTGGTGCAGATGAAAAATATCGATAGAAGGTAACTTAAGGTCTTTATTATTGCGTAGGGTCATTTCATTTATCATGATAAAATACTTGATATAATGCTTATATCAATGTCGGCTGACAATGTTTAGAGCAAATTTTTATCGAAATCCTTTATGAATAACACACAAACATACCGACTTTCACATTCACAACATTAATATGGATAATATCGATTAAATTACAAAACTTGAAATCAATATTATTAATTATCTCCAGCGTCAACCGCTGATAAAAACGATTTGTTTTATGAAGTAACGATAAGTTTATTTATGATAAGGGTATTTTAATTAAGGCTTAACACTGTTAAAAAAAAAACGTGATAGACAAGTCATATCCTGGAAATTTTTTTTATGACGTCATAAAAAAGAGAATATATATATAAAACTCACCGACTTCTGCACTGAAAAGTAAACCGGCACTAATGTCATCGAATTCACGACGAACAACAGCGGGTAGTGGACAATGTACATGGCGTACGAGAGACGACTCAGCAGCTTCCACATGCGGAGAGACAGCATCCAATTTATGGGACCTGGAAATTGGTTATATCAGTTAGAGTCCTGTCATCTCAAAAAAAAAAAAACTGTGCGCGTGCAACTTGGTGCAAGTGAATGAAGTGAAACTTCTTTTTCGATTTTTTTTTTTTTTTTTTATTGCCCTTGTAGGCAGACGAGCATACGGCCCACCTGATGGTGAGTGGTTACCGTCGCCCATGGACTTCAGCAATGCCAGGGGCAGAGCCAAGCCGCTGCCTACCGCAAATCGATGTTTAGTATTGTGGTTTTCTTCATTTTTCATCCTTAAATCAGATTGCTCTTGTAATAGGGAATGCTGTGTATAAGAGATGCGACATTTTCAACATTTATATTTTATATATATTTCAAATAATAGATAGAAAAATAGATAGAATAGATATATATATTCCGAGTGACCATCCTCGTCGAACCCGTCGCTTGCGACGAAGGTTTAGGACGAGTGATTTAATCCATAGACACAGCCCATTGAGTTTCTCGCCGGATCTTCTCAGTAGGTCGTGTTTTCGATCCGGTGGTAGATTCTGCGAAGCACTGCTCTTGCTAGGGCCAGTGCTAGCAACACCTCTGGTTTGAGCCCCGATAGCTCACCTACACGCTAGGGTAACGTTGTTATAGCCTCGTAGCCTCAAGGCTTAGGTATAAGAAAAAAGCCCAATTCGATGGTTTGCACAATCACCTACCTCCGTATCCTTGAGCACAGGCGAAAACGAGCCAACCAACCGCCATCGCCCAGATAGGTCTCTTTAAGCAGTTGATCAAAGTGTCGACGGGCTGATTGTCCCAGTCCAGTTGCATTATCGGATTGCTGACGTACAAAACGGAAGCGGCCAAAACTCCCATGCATATCCATATTAAGACAGCGTGAAACTGAAAACAAATTAAATTTTACATTCTCAATTTTAAGCACCGCGAAGTCTATTGAGCGAGGAGGCAGCTTTTTTCCTTACCTATTAGCTTGTAGCTGAAGGGGCTAACCCAGCTACGCGCAGATGGGTACGTAAGCTCACGGGTTGAACCTGAGAGAATTTTCTAACAGCAGCCCTAGCAAGACCAGTGCTTCCTAGAATCTACCAACGGATCGGAATCGTGATCCATTAAGAAGATCGGCAGACGAAGGTAGGCAGACGAGCTATCGGCCCACCTGATGGTGAGTGGTTACTGTCGCCCATGGATTTCAGCAATGCCAAGGACAGAGCCAAGCCGATGCCTACCGTTAAACCGTCTATGGATTAGTGCGGTCGTCGTCGAACTCTTCGTCATAATCGACGAGTTCGAATAGGACGGTAATCGGTGCTTGAGGAGTTTAAAATCACCGAGAGTGGATCCGAGGGATCCGACAAGACATGTTCCGGGCGACGGCGACGGTCGGTTGCGGCGACCGTCGTCATTTCGACGACCGGTCAAAAGACAGAGATTCCAGATATAGCTCTATCGTCTTACTCTTTCCAACTTCTGTCTCGGATTTGGCATTTAGATGGAATTTGGTGAAAAATAATATGTAGTTGGTTTATTTCCTTGCATACAGCCTCAAAATGTGGAGGGTTTTATTTCACACTTATCACATAGGATTGGTCTTTTTTCCCCTATGTTATGTAAAACAAAATCTAAATTTACAATAAACTTAGAACAACGAACTCAGAAACTTATTTAATTTACGGGTTCATGACGTCACCAACTCTTTCTAATAATAAAAGGCATTTTCACGCTTTCCGTTGTTTTGTAATTAAATTTGTCAGTTGGATATTAAGCAACCCACACAATGAAAGGGATGTTCCCTTTCATCGATATTTTGAATATATTCAAATGAACTGAATAAAAATACTATTCATTAATTACAGAAATAAAATAAATTAAAGGATCAAAAAAATGTTTGCCAAGAGATCCCAAAAATAGATTTGAATCTATAATTATTATGTTTAAATTTTCTTTTTTTTTCTTTTTTATTGCTTAGATGTGTGGACGAGCTCACAGCCCACCTGGTGTTAAGTGGTTACTGGAAGCCATATACATCTACAACGTAAATGCGCCACACACCTTGAGATATATTATATTATTATATATATTATATACCGACTATTATTTGTTTCTATATGCTTACTTTGTATGGTATGGAAATGGTAGTGCAAGGTAGAGGGGGAAGAGGTCGACCGAAGAAGACATGGATGGAGTGTGTGAATGACGATATGAGAGAGAGAGGAGTGAGTGTTGAGATGACGGCTGATAGAAGAGAATGGAAGAGAAAAATTAGCTGTGCCGACCCCACCTAGTGGGATAAGGTGGAGAAAAAGAAGATATGCTTACTTTGTACATATGGTGTAAATAAAGTGTTATATTATTATTATTACAAATTTTCACTGAAATGTATCGATATTTTCCAATTTTTGATTCCTTAATTAATTCAATTGGGAATAATTACTCTTTTTTTCCTGACGTGAAACCATAGTGACTTACCATAGGCATGATAAATTTTCTATCGCGATACAAGTGCATCAGATACCCATAGATCATTCCAACGAAGAAAGGCGAACATCGAGTTAACGTGTGCAGGTAAAAATAAATCATGTAATCTTCCTGGTCGTCGGGGCGACTGGAATATGAAAATATTCATTTAAATAATTTTAAATTATGATAGTAATGAAAACAAGAACAATAAATTGTAGGTTTCAATTGAATATGCAATTTCGAAAAGGGCACATGTCGCATATTTTGTCAAATATGTTTTTTCATACACATGTAGTTTTGAGGCTTACCTACACCTATTTTATAATAATTCCAGTAATTTTCAATTGCTAATTAACAGTAAAATATATCTCAAAAGTTAATATTTTAAATTTTACACTGCTTTAGAAAATAATCAGTTTTTTTTTCATTTCCTGAACATTTTACATTTTCAGAGATGTGCCCTTTTCGAACTTGCATATTCAATTATTTTCAATCTAATACTACGAAGCTGCGGGAAACGATGTAAATATCTGTTACCTAAATAACTTTGTTACTTGTTTCGTTGGAAAGTTCGAGATTTTTTTTTCACAGCCATCAAGTCACTGGTCGATTTAATGAAAAAAACACAATTTATCCTGTTACAGCAAAGTAAGGTCGCAAGTAAATTAAGAAAATTTAAAAATGTTTAATATCTTTCGTTTAAGCTGTTTGGCACAGGAAATACACCTCTATTGCATCGATTATAAAATCCACAGTGGACTCTTTAATAACAGTTTATAAATAATGTGATCGTTTACTATTTCAACTATGGAAGCTTCAAATTGAACACAAAAAAATAGTGTATCCATCTTTATGTCTAAATAAAATGTATTGGTTCACAGTCCCTGTTTTCCAATTACAGCACAAGAGCGCATTATGCGGCATAATGCTCAACGTTGAATGTTTCAACTACAGCAACGCTTCGCACAATCGAGTCGGTATCGATTGCGAGTATCACGCGAGAGCATTACTTTTGAGAGTGCTTGAGCATTATGCCGCATAATGCGCTCTTGTGCTGTAATTGGAAAACAGGGAGTTTATTCCGAGCATTGGTCCAAATGTCTAAGTTGGAATACAAAGTTGTAATGGCAACATCGAAATTCATTTTTCGACTTACGATGGTATCACAGGTCCCGAAGAGAACTTGTTTATGGTGTTATAAATGGAGGATGCGATTAGTGCTGTCGCCAAGGCCATCACAAGAGCTGACCAAGCTATTCTCTTCCTCCTGCCGAGGACCCAGAACAGGACGAGAGGCGACAGAATATGTAATTGAACATCAATAGCCAGGTACCAAGTGTGAGGAAGACACTGAAAAAAAAATTTATAGCAACAATTCATGATTGATATTAAGATCGTGGATATAATAAAAATAATTAAAATATCTGTAAGTAAATATGTGTATAGAATTCACTAGACGTGTTTTCATAATAAGTTTATTTAATTCTATAGAAAGCTAATGTTCCAAAGGTAAAATATGTGTTTATAACTTATATCGTATTTAAAAACTAAAAAAACAATTGTCATTTCAAAACGAGCGTAAATTAAAAGAATATTTTTTTTAGCCGGATTAGGACTTAATGCCAAAAAAAATTTTTTTTTTATTTGTCAACAGTCCTTCACGCGTGTGCTAATTTTCAAGATAATCAATCAATCAATAAAAATAGCCAGATATAAGTGAAGCTATTTGAAGCGTGCTATAAATAAATTATGTTATCTTTATTGTATCTTTTTTTTTAAATATTTTTGTAAGGAGGTTATAATAACCGGCAAACTTCTTGAGCATTTGTTGACGTAGTGGGGGTAAGTTTGCGCATGGTACACTCACGTGCAAAAACATTACTTACTCTGCGTCATAATGCTATTAAATTATTAAAATCAACATATGTATTTATTTATATATTTATTAGAACATCAACAAAACATATAGGTTAATAATTGTAATAATTTAATCTTGGGGTAAANGTATAAATTCTACAAATAAATAATACTCAACAATATTTAAAATAAAATGAGCCAAGAACGTTTATCGATAAAACCTGATAACATTGAAATCTTTTGTACAGCACTAAAGCCGCCATGTTTTGTGGCCAGATGACGTCACAGTGGCACGAAATTTTGGTTGACGTTTCATTTCCATAGGTTTCCTACTTCATTGAATAAAAGGCATTTTTACGCTTCCCGTTATTTTGTAATTAAAATTGTCAGTTGGATATTAAGCAACCCACACAATCAAAGGGATATCCCTTTCATCGATATTTTGAATATATTCAAATGAACTGAATAAAAATACTATTCATTAATTACAGAAATAGAATAAAATATTAAAGGATCAAAAAAATGTTTGCCAAGAGATCCCAAAAATAGACTTCAATCTAAAAAATATTATTTTTAAATATCGATATATTACAAATGTTCACTGAAATGTATCGATATTTTCCAATTTTTGATTCCTTAATTAATTCAATTGGGAATGATTACTATTTTTTTTTCCTGACGTGAAACCATAGTAGCTTACCATAGACATGATAAATTTTCTATCGCGATACAAATGCATCAGATACCCATAGATCATTCCAACGAAGAAAGGCGAACATCGAGTTAACGTGTGCAGGTAAAAATAAATCATGTAATCTTCCTGGTCGTCGGGGCGACTGGAATATGAAAATATTTATTTAAAAAATTTTAAATATGATAGTAATGAAAACAAGAACAATAAGTTGTAGGTTTCAATTGAATATACAATTTCGAAAAGGGCACATGTCGCATATTTTGTCAAATACGTTTTTTCATACACATGTAGTTTTGAGGCTTACCTACACCCATTTTATAATGAATACCAGTAATTTTCAATTGCTAATTAACACTAAAATATATCTCAATAGTTAATATTTTAAACTTTACACTGCTTTAGAAAATAATCAGTTTTTTTTCATTTCCTGAACAACATAGTGCCTCAATCGATAAATAAAAGACCTAAACTTTTGTATAAAATAAACTTAAAACAAACAAAAGGATCGACTGGGGACACATCAAAGGAAAAACAAAATTGTTATTTTTATTTAATTCCGAGCATTTTCATATTTATCTACCTTTTAAACCTTCTCTGGACTTCCACAAATAATCCAAGACCAATATTAGCCAAATCGGTTCAGCCGTTCTCGAGTTTTAGCGAGACTAGCGAACAGCAATTCATTTATATATATATATATATATATATAGATTAGTATATCCATCTTTATCTTCTTTATGATGTACTGGCTCACAGTTTATTCCGAGCATTGGTCCAAACGACTAAGTTGGAATACAAAGTTATAATGGCAACACCGAAATTTATTTTTTGACTTACGATGGTATCACAGGTCCCGAAGAGAACTTGTTTATGGTGTTATAAATGGAGGATGCGATTAATGCTGTCGCCAAGGCCATCACAAGAGCTGACCAAGCTATTCTCTTCCTCCTGCCGAGGACCCAGAACAGGACGAGAGGCGACAGAATATGTAATTGAACATCAATAGCCAGGTACCAAGTGTGAGGAAGACACTGAAAAAAATGTTTGTAACAACAATTCATGATTGATATTAACACAGTAATTATAATAAGAAGAATTCATTTATCTGTAAAAAAAGTATATAAAATTTACTAGATGGTGTTTTCATAAAAAGTCTGTAATTTTGTAGAAAGCATGTTGGAAGTATGTTTCAAAGGTAAAATATGGATTTTTTTATTAGTAAACAAAAAAAACTTAAGTATATCGTATTTAAAAACGAAAAAAAACAATTGTAATTTCAAAACGAGCGTAAATTAAAAGCATATTTTTTTTAGCCGGATTAGGACTTAATGCCAAAAAAATTTTTTTTTTTATTTGTCGACAGTCCTTCACGCGTGTGCTAATTTTCAAGATAATCAATCAATAAAAATAGCCAGATATAAGTGAAGCTATTTGAAGCGTGCTATAAATAAATTATGTTATCTTTATTGTATCTTTTTTTGTAAATATATTTGTAGGGAGTTTATCTTTAGTATGTACAGTTTGACAAAACCAAAACTAGATGGAGCGGTTCTCAATTTTTTAATTCAATTTCTTTATAACATCAAGATACCTATTGGATGTTTCAATCGATCTCACCATTTGCAGAGGGTTGACTAGGTTCTGCACGTGCAATAGGGTCGTCCACCAATTCATCCGACACGCATTCGTGTTTTCAAGAACCATCCTCCAGTTGGGGCCGTCGGCGACCCGGTTCAGTAGCGAAGCTTGTATCAAAATGAAGGCGGCTAGCGTGGGGAACATCCGCAGGAGACGGTTCAGGTAAAAAAAATGGAGATTCCTCAGTAGTTTCACTGGAATAAAACGAAGCGGTGCTGTAACGGCAGCTGTCATTGAATACAAGATATTTGACAGATGCCTGAATCTCGCTAAGTTTACATAATATATAATATGTAAAGAAAAACTTTCATTATTTAAAACTATTTAGTTTTTTAAAAGGAGAAAGTCGTCGTGGCCTAAAGGATAAGACGTCGACGTGCTCGAATCTCAGGCTGGTACCAATTTTTCTAATGAAATACGTACTCAACGAATGTTCACGATTGACTTTCACGGTGAAGAAATAAAAATCAAACCCGAAAAATTTTAATTTGCGTAATTACTGTAGGTAGGACCTCTTGTGAGTCCGCGCGGGACAACGGCCGTGAAGCCGTAATGCGTTTCGGTTTGAAGAGTGGGGCAGCCGTTGTAACTATACTTGAGACCTTAGAACTTATATCTCAAGGTGGGTGGCGCATTTACGTTGTAGATGTCTATGGGCTCCAGTAACCACTTGACACCAGGTGGGCTATGAGCTCGTCCACGCATCTAAGCATAAAAAATAAATTAAAAAAAGATATAAGTTCTAAGGTCTCAGTATAGTTACAATGGCTGCCCGCCCTTCAAACTGTAACGCATCACTGCTTCACGGCAGAAATAGGCAGGGCTAAATGTAGCAAATATGGCCAGCCCATTGCCACTTCAGCTTACTAATCAGCTGTGCTATATCGATAACTTTAGCTGAAATTTATGAAACCTAAACCTCGTGCATAAACTTAATAGCAGTCTTATTTTGGTCTGTGATATTCGTTTATCAACCTTAAAGCCCACTCACAATCCAAATAAAATCCGTTGTTGCCAATAATAAAACACCTGTGTTATATCCTGTCACGTATTAGGTCATTAACGGTATTATTAGTATGTAGTCGAATATCGATCATTTTTATTTTTAAATATTATACGATTTTATTATCGACATTGCGATAAAGGCATAGGTTTACTTTTTAATTTATTTATTACCTACATGGGCGTATGATATCACGGCCTACCTGTTGTTAAGTGATTCCGGGAGACAATAGACATGAGTTCTAAGTCTCAGTTTTACAGTACAACTGCTGACTCACCGTTCTAACCGAAACGCATTACTGCTTCACGGTAGAAATAGGCAGGGGTTGGAGCCTACCCGTGCAAACTCACAAGACGCCAATTAGTACTACGCTTACTTTATTGTTCACCGGTAGAAAAAATACTCCAACATCCCATAATCGGTGGAACATAGGGGTCCAATAATCCGACACTACCATTATTCTCGGTCGTAGAACACAGTAATAAGGACAACTTGTCCTTCTTCATGGAGAATACTTAACGGTAGGCATCGGCTTAGCTCTGTCCCATGGCATTGCTGATGTCCATGGGCGACGGTAGCCACTCACCGGTGGGTCGTATGCTCGTCGCCTACAAGTGCAATAAAAAAACAAGAAAAACTTGCAGACCAAAAGCGCGTCTTTTACCGAGTCAGAAGACATTTCTGTTGGTTATACCTGAACTAAGAAGCTCAGTTTAAAGTAGACCCCTATTTTTGCAACAATAGTCTTTATGGACTTCCTAATGAATGTCTATTTTAATGGATTGCGTTGTAGAATTTGAGGATGATTTACTAAAATCATGATGAAGAACTCACTGCCGGTAAACTTCCCCGCGCACGTATACACGATTAAGAAGCCGCTGAGCATGAAGAATGTGTCCACGGTTATGGGTCCGGCCGTGATCCACACTGACGGGAGCGACAGTATATACTGCAATAATAAATAAGCGATTTAGGAATATTCACATTGACCTGATACCAGACTAGGATTCTCTGTACTAAAGGAATTGGAGACGAATTTACGTATATAAACACCCGAACAAAGAGCGAACAAATTTCTTTATCGCAATTATGTGGGAATCGAACCCACGAACCTCGATTGAATTATTATCATCAAGCGAAGGGAAGTCTGCTCTAATTCTTAAGCAACAATCAAACAAGTCAAACAAACAATCTGTCCGGTGATTACTTCTAGAAGAGTTTGTAACCAGTTGCCTTTTTTCTATCTCAAAAACCTGGATACCACGACCGTCTTTTTTCCCCTACCTATGCTGATAGCCTTGAGAGGTTACTTCAGCTTTACCCTAGCGTGTAGGTGAGCTCTCGAAGCTCAAGCCGGAGGTGTCTATGGGTTAATTTACTCGCCGAGCCCTTCGTCGCAAGCGACGGATTCGGCGAGGACGGTGACCGGTGCCTGAGCTACCTAAAAGCACCGCTAATGGATTGGGAGGATCTGTAATGACGTGTTTAGGGCAAACTATGACAGTCGACGACGAATGTCGCTACCGATTTTGAGATACGAGATCAAAGTCTCAATTGCAGAGTACAACGGCTGTCCACTCAATTAAATAAAAAAAAATCACTGCTTCAGGGTAGCAGCACATTGAAATAGGCAAGGCTTACCTACTCGCGTGGACTCACAAGAGGTCTTACCACCAGTAAAATAATATAAATAGTTTACATAGCTCATCAAATTTCCGCACCATACAAAGGGGTGAGCGAGAACCATCTTGTGTACAAAAGGTTAACACAAGATGCCCTGTGAACTCAAAACATTTGTGCTACTCACATCAAGCAAATCACTGGGATTGGCATTCAGTTCGTTCATTTGCGTCACGAACGTGTGTCCAACAATGACCCAGGCCATGGCTAAGGCACGAACGCCGTCGAGACATTCGATAGCTCCATTAACCGGCTTGTAGACGACCAGACGTTTCGTATTCGTGTATATCGAAAACGATTTGAGCAGTTTGTTTGATTTTTCAGGGTCTGTTGAAATGATTTTCAATTTTAGGATATACGAATTTCATTCGAACAACTTATTTTATACGTAGCTAACTCTATAAAAGCGAATTTTTTTTTTTGTATTGTTTATTTACGTTTTCTTGTCATTTTTAGGGCAAACGATCTCAATCACTATAGCTACGTAGGTAATTAGGTAGGTTCACCCTATAATTAAAATTCTGTGTAATCACTGACACTTCCTATTTAAGATTAGATTTGGTATATCAAATTTTAATTTGATCTTGAAAATAGAAAAAAAAAATACGCCGCATTATTTATTATATTATAATACGACCTATGTTTAAATGTTTAATGTTAATAGTAAGACTATCAATCATTAAGGCTACTGGACACGAACAAAAATAAAATAGATTAATATACAGACGCAAATAGGTAGGCAGCGGCTTGGCTCTGCACCTGGCATTACTGAAGTCCATGGGCGGCGGTAACCACATACCATCAGGTGGGCCGTTTGCTCGTCTACATACACGGGCAATAAAAAAAATGGTACTTAGTCGGTAATACCAGCTCAACCCATTTTGTGAGCTTACCATTAGGGATAATGGTTAATCAACAACTAAAACACTTAAGCCTTACGTCTCAAGATGAGGGGTCCCAGGCATACCTTAATATTTTTTTTCGAAACAGCGAAAATAATAGTCGACTATTGAATGATCATTGTTAATGACAGATATGTTATCTACGTTAATAGGCTTAATTATTCCTTCTATTACTGCGCTGCGCTTGCGGTACTTTGAGGTAGGCAGGTTGGAGTAGGCAGACGACGTATTCTATTACTGCGCTGCGCTTGCGGTACTTTGAGGTAGACAGGTTGGAGTGGGCAGTGGACATATTCTATTACTGTATTATAACTAGACGTTCGACTAGAATTCTGCCAATGCCGGTCCCAAGCCCGGATGAGAAAAGAGGAAGGTTGAGTCGGTGTTCGACCTTTCAACTCTCCTCACCTCTCCTCTCGAAGAGCTAAAAGCTCTTCCAAAAGCACTGCCGTGGAAAGACGCGGGAACCCACCATGTTTGTTTTCCCAAGAAACCCTGATTGAGGCCAGTATTGAAGATTATCGACGTAAGGATAATAACTAGACTAAGGAGGATAACTAGACATTGCGGCACTTTTTGATAAATCTTATCAAACCTTTCTGAACGAACTTTCAAATATCTTGTACCGATTACAAAATTGAGTAAATTGCAGTGCCATTAAAAGTATATTATTGTTTTCCAATTATGTTTATCTTCGGAAATTTCTTAAGCTGTCCTGAGAATTGTCTTTTGTCGAAAGCATCTAAACTTACCTCTTTTCTGGATAACTGTGTGTCTGACGTCATAGGAAGTGCTGAGTATTGTTAGTAATATTATCGTACCGAAAACGCCTCTGTAAATTGCGAAAATGAAACTAAACTCGACAATTTCTGATAAATACAATTCTACAAGAGAGGAACCCCGTGTACTTAAGCATGCATTTTCTGATTTTGTTTCGATCTTTATTAGATGCATTAGCTGAATTGTCATTCCCATTTAGTAAGAGTTGATTTATGATTCTCTCGTTGGTAGAGGATTATTAATGCTGGATAAATTATTTCGTTTTTCCCCACAAATAAGTTTTTTATAATTTTTATAGCTGGGAATAAATCACGCACGTTTATCCGTCCCCAATCTAGGATTCCCCGTGTTACGGGTACCAAAGACTGACAAACTCACTTATATATGTTTAAATAAAAAAAAAACATTTCATCATAAAATGTGTGCCCGATGTGGGAATCGAACCCACGATCCTCAGCGCAACAGTCTGGGGCGTTAACTTCCGCTCCACCGCGTCAGTCATCGACGTTAGTGTGATTGTTAACAGTTCGAAAAGGCATGATCTTAAAGCGACGTCTAGACATCAAACCAGATTAAACTGGTAACAAGCGAATGAATTAACACTTTTACTTATCAGGAACGTATCACAGGTTTTTTTTGTATCGTAAAGTCATTTAAATGGATTAAATTTTACTTACAATGCGACGTAATCCGCTGCTACATAGGGTTTATCATTCGTCATCCGGCAGTAATTATCCTCGTATGTAAGTCCTAATTCTGTAGTATTGATAACGAAACCGTCTAGGAACTCACGTGTCGTGCACGGTGTAGGTAGGCACAAGGCCAAACTGAAGACAGGGCTTGAGCTTAGAAGATCCCTGAAATAGTTTGAAAACTTGAAATTTAGAGTGTTTTAAAAGATCGATACCTTTGTATATTGCATTCAGCATTATTCGATATTCTATTGGATATGAAAAGCAATGTTTATAGGAAAATTAATCATCAAGAATAAATACATTAAAAAAAACATTTTTGTGGACGATTTTATCGTTTTTTGCAAAGTCGTTAAGTTAGGATTCGTAAGACGCATATAAACATTGTGGTGATTTCTGGATTCCGTGTGAAGCGACACCTATAATAAAATAAGACGTATTAGACATATGCCTGAATCGCGCTAAATAGATTTTCAAGATAAATTTGCGTAGATAATACAAGTTTGGAATAACAACACCCGGTCACCGTCGTCGTCGAAGCCGTCGCTTGCGACGAAGGGCTCATCGAGCGAATTAACCCATAGACCCAGCCAATTGAGTTTCTCGCCGGATCTTCTCAGTGGGTCGCGTTTCCGATCCGATGGTAGATTATGTGAAGCACTACTCTTGCTAGGGTCAGTGTTAGCAACACTTCCGGCTTGAGCCCCGTGAGCTCACCTACACGTTAGGGTGAAGCTGACATAGCCTCTCAAGGCTATCAGCATAATTAGGGGGGAAAAGTAACACTCGAACTATCTATCGAGCAATTTCATCTGCTAAGTGCAAATCGGCATATCTGTCCAGCATATGGACTTTTTATGAAAGATTAAAATATTAACTGACGCGCTGTTTTCATTAATCGCGTCCAGCTTCTCGCGGACGCGGTAATCGCGTCCTTTTCAGTTATTATTGTGTTTGGTTTATGTAACAAAGTAATAGGTATTGTTCCATTTGCTTATCAAATTACCTATTGATTTGTGAAGTGAATTTACGTAATTGAAATCATGGAGAATTGCTAGAGAGCGTAATTTTCGATATGAAAACAATCAATAAGATAAGATAAGCCAAATTTAGGTATATTACAACTAATTTTGTAATATTATTAAAGAAAGCAATGTACGTGCGTACATTTGCTGAATGTAATCAACAGGATGTCCAGCAATATTTTATTAAAATTACAATTGAAGTTCGACAAACTGTAGGTACAAGAAGTTCAAAAAAACAACGAAAAATAAAGCCATAATTAAAACTTAATTTGCTAACAACAACACTATGTTCAAATGTGGCCATTGAATGAATGAATGAATATATACATTTTACTGGTGGTAGGACCTCTTGTGAGTCCACCCTGCTTATTTCAGCCGTGAAGCAGTAATGCGTTTCAGTTTGAAGATCGGGGCAGCCGTTGTAACTATACTGAGACTTACAACTCATATCTCAAGGTCGCCGGCGGCATTTACGTTATAGATGTCTATGTGCTCCGGCAACCACTTAATACTAAGTGAGCTGTGAACTCGTCCACCTATCTATGGAATAAATAGAAAAACATATACATACATGAATGATAAAAATATATTTTTTAAGTTGTCCAAAGTTTGGTTTGCTATGAACCGTCAACTGTTAGTGTTTATACAACATCATTTGTGCTCTTTTTGAATATTGAATGTGTTGGCTCGCATGTGTGAGTTCAAGATCTTTGATAGCATTACATTTATCAAAATCTGAATGAGCTAATTTAATTTCAAATGATGTGACGTTAACAGATAATGAAGCGAAACGCAGTTTGGATAGGTAATGAATAATATGTGTTTCAAATTTGTTGTTAACGTTCAATATTATGAAGTCTAGCCCACTGAGTTTCTCGCCGGATCTTCTCAGTGGGTCGCGTTACCGATCCGGTGGTAGATTCTGCGAAGCACTACTCTTGCTAGGGTCAGTGTTAGCAACACTCCGGTTTGAGCCCCGTGAGCTCACCTACACACGTTAGGGTGAAGCTGAAATAGCCTCTCATGGCTATCAGCATAGGTAGGAAAAAAAATTACGAAGTCTTTAAGACCTACCTTTGTTTTCCTTCCTTTCTTTCACGTTTATAGAGGACTTCTCTCTCTTTTGCCAAATCCTTAAGTCGAATCCCGAGTTCAGTTCGCAAAGGCAAGCCAGGAATATCAGGCAATTCCAAGTCTTGCTCCAAAGGCATATTGATAGTGCAGTATTTGCCTTCAACAACGAAATCAGGTGTTTCATTGCTAATTTCCAAACATTGAAAATAGTTTCCCATATCGACAAAACCACCCTTGAATATACCGCGAGGTATACGTATTCCAGCATCCAAAACTAAAAAGAAAAGTTTTAAATAAATATAAATAACTATATTACAGTACAGTTACTATATTAAGGCTTTTTTAAAAGAAGCAGGTGGCCAAGAATACAATTTTTTTTATAACTTTGACTTTGACTATCGTTGCATGTTTTATTTTAATCGAGTAGTATTTAATGGATATAAGCGTAGGCAACGACTTGGCGCTGCCCCTGGCATTGCTAAGGTCCATGGGCGACGGTAACCACTCACCATCAGGTGGACCGTGTGCTCGTCTGCCTACAAGGGCAATAAAAAAATTATCTGAATACAACGAAAAAAATATAGAGACGTTTCTTAATTTTATAAGATTCGTAATTTTTGTCATAGGTAATTTGTATGGGAGTGGTGAATATATGAACATAATTCTTATTCAGAGGAAAGGTTAACATACGTTTCTATAGACAAAACGCAGCCTGTCTTTCTTTAAAGTTATTTTAATCACTAGAGTGCATTTTAGCCCTTAACATAATATCATATTCATATTTTACGGTACTGAACAAAAAAAATTACACTATTAAAATGTGGATATACCGATTCCCCATCGGTCAGGTATCTGTAAATTTGATTCCCCAACGTAAAAAAACCAACCACCAACGGTATCATCTCCGCCTCTAGATGGGCCACCGGCCGTAACTACCGATGTAGAGTTATCGATTCGCGTCGACGATTCCGCTGCACGAATGTATTTGGGCCACGCGTTTGGCTTCAGCGTTGATTGCAGTAGCTTCTCCTAGCTCTACCGGGTTTTTTTTATTGCTTAGATAGGTAGACGAGCTCACAGCCCACCTGGTGTTAAGTGGTTACTGGAGACCATAGACATCTACGACGTAAATGCGCCACCCACCTTAAGATATAAGTTCTAAGGTCTCAAGTATAGTTACAACGGCTGCCCCACCCTTCAAACCGAAACGCATTACTGCTTCACGGCAGAAATAGGCGGAGCGGTGGTACCTACCCGCGCGGACTCACAAGAGGTCCTACCACCAGTAAAACTTCAGTGTCTATCAACGTTATTATGACAAGAACATGTGAGAATACCAACACTGAAAAGAAGAACAACGGCCTGCCATCAAAGCTTCAGGAGCCGTTAATTGGATATTTTATTTCATCAATTGTAAAATATCTACTTTTGTTTTGATAGTGCTACTGTGATACTATCTGTTTTAACACTGAAAGTCCGATTGGCGGGGCTTTTGTGAGTTTTTGTGAGTTCGATGCTCCGTGATGTTTGCGAAGAAGATATGGAAATTATGTTTACACTGATTTGTATTAGGTTTTAATATAAAAGCGACACAATAACTAAAATAAAATAAAATACAAAATGAGTTGAGAACTTATATATTATATATAAGTAATAAAAAAAATAAAAAAAAACTTATACTGTGATATATTTTTTATGTTGTGAATGACTAGTTTACGACATAATAAAAATATCACAACTTACTCAAAAATATGTGCTTTTATTTTGTAATGAAATCGCACATTCTTGTTGCGATATAGGTACATAAATAAAATGAACAAAATAGTAGAATATAACAAAAACTATGCAGAGAAATTAATTAATTGAAGTTTGTGTATTCGAAATAAAAGTTTTACTCTACAGGTTTGCATATGATTAAAACGAAAATGCACAAATTTTTATTTTGTCTCTCTAATCTCAGACTAATCTCCGGAAGGACTGGTTCGGTTCTAATGGAACTTTTATTCTAAGGATTTCTCAAATAATATAACTTTTTTCTCTACTTTTTTTTTGGAAATATTTAAGGTCCGTTAGAATTTCATATACCAAATCGGTTTCAAATTTACTGGTTGACCTCTTGTGAGTCCGCACGGGTACTACTACCCTGCCTATTTCTTCCGTGAAGCAGTAATGCGTTTCGGCTTGAAGGGTGGGGCAGCCGTTGTAGCTATACTTGAGACCTTAGAACTTATCTCAAGGTGGGTGGCGCATTTACGTTGTAGATGTCTAAGGGCCCCAGTAACCACTTAACACCAGGTGGGCTGTGAGCTCGTCCACCCATCTATGCAAAAGAAAAACTTGCACTAGATTTTTATGAAATTTTCGTAAAAAAAGTAACATTTATATAATTTTTTTTATTGCTTAGATAGTTGGACAAGCTCACAGTCCACCTGATGTTTAGTGGTTACTGGAGCCCATGGACATCTACAACGTAAATGCGCCACCCACCTTGAGATATAAGTTCTAAGATCTCAGTATAGTTACAACGGCTGCCCCACCCTTCAAACCGAAACGCACTACTGCTTCACGGCAGAAATAGGCAGGGCGGTGGTACCTACCCGCGCGGACTCACAAGAGGTCCTACCACCAGTTGAATATGTATTCTCTACTTGTTCTCAACTTGTTGTTGTTGTTTGTTGTTGTTTTCACTGGTGGTAGGACCTCTTGGGAGTTCGCACGGATAGGTACCACCACCCCGCCTATTTCTGGTAGCCGTTGTAACTATACTGAGACCTTAGAACTTATATCTCAAGGTCTTATATCTCAAATAAAAAAAATAAAAAAAATTGTAAGTGTGACGTGATTTACTAAAATGATGTCCGTAATTTTCGGAGGGAACAACCGGGTTTCACCTCTTGTTTTAAAATAAAATCACCGCAATAGTTTTCATTTTCATTACATGTTAAAATGCCAATTTCTAATGTAAAATTTCACTCACACTCTAAGAGTAGCAACGTATTGTTCTCTCGCATATATTGAAGCTGTTTTTCACACAGCTCTGGATCTAACACGTCTTCATACAGTTGCATGTCTAATGCGTGCCGATGGTTCGGTACGTACGTATCCAAATATCCACTGACATGTTTGTAAATAAATATATTCAACAAAACAATTAGTAAGCGCGACATCTCGCCCACACAGCTCCGAACCGACAATACAACAATTTAAGTTTGCAGCTGCTCTATTTATCTAATCGATTATCTGAGTATTTAGAGCCGATTCCGTTTGTTTGCATCGATTACCACAATCACGTGTAAAAACTAAATCAATGTATGATTGTTATCAAACATAGTTCGATCAATCATTGTTGTGGATGTCGACGCCAACGTACCTAATTAGTAATTTCAATTTGAAATTGTGATTTAAAGTAATTAAAATTTCCAAACGCCACTTATATTTAAATAAAATTAATTCATATTGTAAAGATCGAACCCCTAAAGCAATTCTTTCATAGGACTTTGTATGCCTTTAAAACAAGATCGTACAATACGTTCAATTGAATTACTATTAGGGGTTAAAGTATGAAATTGTACTGGAAAATTGAAATTCATTTTTTTTTTTCATTTAACATAATGATATAGGTATATTTAATCAAAATATTTACCATTATTATTTATACATTGCTGCCATCTAATAGGAAGGTCATTTATGCGATTGCGATAGAACTCCGGTGATCTACATTCTACAAGCTTTATGAAAGCATTTTGTACTACCTTCTGAAAAGAAAGCTTTTTATCACGTAGAAAATTGTCCAAATCACGAAAAAATGGTAATCCGTTGGAGCAAGGTCTGGCGAATATGGAGGGTGACGAATGTATTCTAATTGCAGTTCCTGTAGAGTTAAAACGGTTTTTCGTGCTGTATGATGTCTCGCGTTATCATGGAGCAATAATGGTCAATATCGACTCATGAGTCGCGGCTGTTTCACTGCAAGTTTTGCTATCATTGTTTGGAGCTCGCCACAGTAGACATCTGCCATTATTGCTTGACCAGATCGGAGAAAACTATAGTGCATAACACCACGCTGAGACCACCAATCAGTTACCATTAACTTTTCATTGGTAAGCTATGCTTTAGGATACTGTTGCGACGTTTAACCTGGGGTCAGCCATTGCATTTTTCGCTTACGGTTATCGTAAAGAATCCACTTTTCATCACATGTCACAATTCGGTCCAATGTTCCTTCATTTCTGTATCGATTCAACAAGGCAACACAAGTTTCAACACGCGTTTCTTTCTGCAGATTGACTGCTCATCTGATATGATAGATCCACAAGACCCACAAGATCAGCAGGTTTTCATTTAGAGGTATGCGAAGGGCAGAATTTGAGTGAGACGTTCTTACGGATCCATAATATCCAATAACTCTTGCAACAGACGGCTTCAGCTCTAACGCTAGGAGCAGACTTACGAACCCCGGTAACCTTACTCGTCGAACTCGACAAAGAGTGCAACCTAACCCATGCGTCAGTCCGCTGAGTATCTCGCCGGATCTTCTCAGCGGGTCGTGATTTCGATCTGGTAGTAGATTTATTCGCGAAGCAGTTGCTCTTGAGTTGTTAGGTCCCTAAGCCTGCCCCTAGTGTTAGAGCTGAAGGCGTCTAATGCAAAGGTTACTGGATCTGATGGATCCGTAAGGACGTGAAGTTAACTTAGGGGCGCTGTTCCAACTGCATACTTTAAGTTAACTTTTACGCGATCGAGAACGTTAAAAAACTCCCACTAAGCACATTGATGCAATGTTTTGCGCCATCGGAATCTTGTTAATGTATGGAATGCACTATGGACGACTATAGGGAAATGCGCACCTATACGAATAAAATAATTTATATGTATAAAAATATGTTTAAGCATAAAACGATCGAGTAATATAAATAATGGAGGGGTAAAAGAAATGTTTAGGTATAGGTAATGTTTATGAATGTATGTTTTATTTGGTAATAGCATCAACAGTTCGATGTTTTTATTGAACTTCAATTATTTTTACCCCATTCAAATAGCTGAAGAAGTTTTTTTGTTATGCTTTTTTTCCCAAATTTTAAATTCTAATTGGCTCGCCTGTAAAGTTGCAAAAATGTCGCTTAGACCACATGTGAATCTCCATTTCCAGCAACTCAATTTATTTCAAAATCAGCAATAGGTATCCCTTTCACTATATCAGCTTTAAAAACAGAAATACCTACGTACAATAATATAATATTATACTGTAACTCAGCGAAATCATTTTAATATTATTCACAAAAATCCATCACCCGATTTATAAATTTAGGAAACATTGTATATTATGAACGTGTTATGAACTACAATATCGATAATAACAAACAAGTAGTGACGTCTAAAGTAATAATTCATCATTATAATCAATTTAATGAGAAGTCTAATTAGTAAGTAAAATTGTGCTCTGACAACTTAATGATAAGACTTGAACTATGTAAAAAATTCAAATGAGAATGATCCACAATGCACTGAGACTGTACTAAAACCAAACTCACCATGAAACGGAGGAATATCTCCGAGTTAAGAGAAAGCTAAGTTTCGAACTTTTTTTTTTTTTTTTTTTTCCTACCTAAGCTGATAGCCTTGAGAGGCTATGTCAGCGTAACCCTAACTTTAGTAGGTGAGCTCACGGGGCTCAACCTGACGATGTTGCTAACACGTACCCTAGCAAGAGCCGTGCTTCGCAGAATCTACCACCGGATTGGAAACGCGACCCACTGAGAAGATCCGGCGAGAAACTCAGTGGGCTGTGTCTGAGAGTTAATTTACTCGTCGAGCCCTTCGTCGCAAGCGACGGGTTCGACGAGAACGGTGATCGGTGCTTGAAGTACCTAAAAGCACCGTTAGTGGATCGGGAGGATCCGAGATGACGTGTTTTGGGCGACGTCGACTGCTTTCCATTCTGTCCNCTTTAATACAATTTTATTGTAAAATATAAATAATATTCTTTTATAGTTTGAAATTAATGATTAATTCTTCACACTCATTGTTCATTCATGTGATTGAACGAGAACTAAACGCATCACTATTACTTTAAATATAGCAACATTATTTCACAAAGTGACATTAGCTACTGTCAGCTGGCTTCGTCTAATTAAAAATCCGACTATAAGCGAAATTTCGCTTAATACGTGATGTTTATGAATGTATGTTTTATTTGGTAATAGCATCAACAGTTCGATGTTTTTTAGGGAACTTCAATTATTTTTACCCCATTCAAATAGGTGAAGAAGTTTTTTTGTTATGCTTTTTTCCCAAATTTTAAACTCTAATTGGCTCGCCTGTAAAGTTGCAAATGTCGCTTAGACCACATGTGAATCTCCATTTCCAGCAACTCAATTTATTTCAAAATCAGCAGCAGGTATCCCTTTCACTATATCAGCTTTGAAAACAGAAATACCTACGTACAATAATATAATATTATACTGTAACTCAGCGAAGGCATTTTAATATTATTCACAAAAATCCATCACCCGATTTATAAATTTAGGAAACATTGTATATTATGAACGTGTTATGAACTACAATATCGATAATAACATAAACAAGTAGTGACGTCTAAAGCAATAATTCATCATTATAATCAATTTAATGAGAAGGCTAATTAGTTAGTAAAATTGTGCTCTGACAACTTAATGATAAGACTAGAACTATGTAAAAAAATTCATATGAGGACGATCCACAATGCACTGAGACTGTACTAAAACCAAACTCACCATGAAACGGAGGAATATAAGAGAAAGCTAAGTTTCGAACTAAAATGAAGGCCAGGTTTTGTAGAAGCCGTTTGCTTGAGACCCACAGGGCTTATCGGTAGTAGGGAGCACCTAGAACGACGATGACTTAGAAGTCGTCGTGGCCTAAAGGATAAGATGTCCGGTGCATTCGTATGCAGCGACGCACCGGTGTTCGAATCCCGCCGGCAGGTACCAATTTTTTTAATGAAATACGTACGTGACAAATATTCACGATGACTTCCACAATGAAGGAACAACATCGTGTAATAAAAATCAAACCCGCAAAATTATAATTTGCATAATCACTGGTGGTAGGACGTCTTATGAGTCCGCACGGGTACCACCACCCTGCCTATTTCTGCCGTGAAGCAGTACCTAATGGGTTTCAGTTTGAAGGCTGGGGCAGCCGTTGTTAAAAGAGAAACCTTACAACTCCTGTGTCAAGGTGGGTGGCGGCATTTATGTTGTAGATGTCTATGGGCTCTGGTAACCACTTAACATCAGGTGGGCCGTGAGCTCGACCAACCATCTAAGCAATATTAAAAAAAAACATAACATGTCTGAACAGCAAGATTTGAAGCTTTTTTGCAAGATGAGCAGAGCATGAGATGGTAGTTATAAAGCAAAATTATTTCTTGAAATTCAATATACCCATTTTATACATAGCTTTAAGACGAAAACGACTCCAAATGTGGTAGAAACAACAATTGAATGTCTGAGGGTAAAAAAAACAATTTACACTTTTATGAAAGCTTATCAAATTATGATTACAGTTCAACAAAGTGTAGAATCTACAATCTACACAGTAGATCATAGAAGGTGATGCTATAAGACAATGGCAAAATCTACAGTAACATATGTAATATAACTTAATACAAAATAGAGGTATGATAATATGCAATCAATTTAATGACAATGAAAAGGTATGATTTATACTATGACATATGTCAAATTTATTTATTTACAATTTGTACATGACTGATATGAAGAATATGATCTTATATTTTGTCTTTTGCTATATCACAGTTTAAACGAAAAAAATATTTATTTTATATCCCTTATGTATATAGCTATATAAGTGAGGTCATGGGCTCAACCTCAGAGAATTGGTAACCCTAGTCCTAGCAAGAGCAGTGCTTCACTTAATCTACTACTGGAACAACAACGCAACCCACTGAGTAGATCCAGAGAGGAACTGAGCATGTTTTGTCTATGGTCTAGTTCGCACATTGAACTCTTCGGTTTCAGTCAACCTTGACCACGAGAACTTTAAGGTAGTCATAACATCAGAAATAATAATAAAAAAATAAGAGATTAAATGGTAAAATTGTCTATAATTATGGATCAGTCAGTCGATTGATGGATGATAGAAAGTTAAAATAGACAATACAAAC